AATAACTAGTTACATTTCAGTAAGCTTTAAATTAGAAACTTTAGTTATGTCTAATCTATTCGAGCTTGGATGTATAAGGGGGCGGTGGGGTAGCCTAGTGGTTAAAGCGTTGGCTCGTCACGCCGAAGACCCGGGTTCGGATCCCCACATGGGTCCAATGTGTGAAGCCCATTTCTGGTGTCCCCCGCCGTGATGTTGCTGGAATATTGCTAAAAGCGGCGTAAAACTAAACTCAGTCAGTCAGTTGGATGTATAATTATTTGTGTTTGTACATTATGTTTAATTATATGAAACATGACAACGTAATAATACCTACAACGTAAATTCAATCTATGCTATTGTGTTTGAATACTTTGTATGTCCTTGAAATGTTGTATATTGTTTTCTATTTATTATCCATGGAACTTGGTTTTCCTTTATTTATTAGGAAGTTGAAGAAAATATAATCTTCAGTAACCTCTAAACCATTACATCTAATTCATTCAATGTGCATAAGAAGCATTTTAGTATCCGTTCCCAATGAAGAGTACCAGACACTTACCTCTGTAAAAACATTAAAATCCCCTTTCTCGCCGACATGCGTTCATTTGCCAAACGCTGTATAAGCCTACGATAGTGATTAGCAATTGCTATCAAAACACTTTAAATACTTCTTCTGATTGACACTAAAGGTAGCATCTCTCGTAAGAAAATCTAATATTTGTTCAGTACTACTAAATGGGTTGAAATGATAGGTACACTGCGATTTTTAAAAGTACGACACACATGTGCGTCTCTCGCTGAATAATAGGTGCTTTCTGTTGACGACTATATGTGGCTCTTGCTGTGAGAAACTGCCAATTACCTGCCCCATAAACACGTCACACGCTGCGAGGAGCTGATTAATTTGCCCTATATATGCGGCTCTCGGCCTTAATGACTTAAGATATCTGCTCGACTGTGTCAACGAAAAGGGTGGCCCCACTCAATATGGACACTGTTAATCGAGGTGTTACCCCTCCCTTATCTCTGGACGTGTTGTACTGTCTGCGGTGGTTTATCAGTATTTCGGGCATGAGCTTTGCCAATATTACCAGATATGACATTTGTCAATATTTTCGGACATGGTTTTGTCAGTGTCACTCTATACAGGTTACATAGTACCAAATGTTCTCCATAGACTTCTATAGTAACACACATTAAGCTAAGTCATGGTGATAAAAATGACGGCACTAAAAATACTTAAAATTGTGTTAGGTTTAATTACTGGATGTTTGTGCTTTTAGAAAACATAAACATCTTACACATTTTCATCAATTCACAGCTGTCACAAGCCTCAATCTCTTCACATGTTTGCATACGCTACTCGCTCAGGGAGCATATGATTCTGATTTAGTGTAGTGGAACCTAGACATGCGTTTTGGAGTTATGATACAGTATTGACCAGGGAATGATTAAACACTGTGTTATTGTGCACAATAATAATAACATATCATTTGCATCAATTCGTGTAAAGAACAGGTACTTTTCTCAAATGGTTTATAAACTGATACATGTAATTACGTGTTTACAGACAGTAACATAGTCGTTGGGAAAGGATTGATAGTACCCCGAAAAAAATCAATCACATGTTGTTTTGTTTATGCTGGCTTGTAAAAATCATAATTTCTTTGTTTCACAGATCGCCTACAATGCCTGGTGGATTGTTTGCTATTGACAAACAGTGGTTTACAACCCTGGGAACGTATGATCCTGGCCTCTTTTATTGGGGTGCAGAGAACTTGGAGCTGTCTTTCAAAGTACGCTATATCGAACGATATTCTGGCCATAGCCAAAAGATCTGGAATTACCATGAATTACATGGGTACATGTTGTGTGACCCTAACCAGTATCGTAATTGTGCACTTTGTAATTATCGTCATGAATAATGAGGGAAGTAACTTCGAGGGATAGATATATAGGACCATGTATATGGATAAACCTATGGCATACTTCAATACCAGAAACGGTTGGGCATTATTCAAATATGATCAATAACAGTGTCAGATGTCTGAATACTGTCAATCTACTGTTTCTGTTGTGGAATCGGAGGTAATACTTTGTTCATGAGTTTACTGGAGAATTTTTTAAGTTATATGTAATCCGTTAAACATATCCAGAGCAACGTTTAGAGGTTTCAGTTGTAATTCAGGCTGTCAATCTTTTATGGCAGTAGAGTGAGGCGCACCTAAAATATACTGTTTGTTTGTTTCCACATTGTTGCGTTTAGATTCTTTCTTTCTCCTTCCTCAATCTTCCTTTCCTTGTTAAAGGCACATGGCTAATCTTCTACAACAGTCTCGGAGTAAAGTAGTATAGATTTACATTTTCTAGAAGCTATTTGGACTATGTAAGCGAACGCCTTTGATGCACAATGTTCTGCTCTTTTAACATTTACAAGTTTAAATAGGATACCAAGAACTGTATTGGAAACTGCTAGTTGACATGGCATCTGTATTCGTCTACAGAAGACAGTATAATGGATATGCAACACTTCAGATCCTACATAAATTGTTCCTCTAAAAGCAAAACAAGCTCAGTCAATGATGAATGGGTTTTCAGATATGGATGTGCAATGGAACTTTGGAAACACTTCCTTGTTCTCACGTGGGTCACGTATTTCGCTTGGTGAATCCCGTAAAGTGGAAGATGGGTGGCAACCCTGCTTTGACTAACAGTGTAAGGGTGGCAGAAGTCTGGCTTGACGAGTACAAGTACCTGTACTATGAGGCGAATCACTTGTTCCCGGTAAGAGCATACACATGATATATCTTGGCTTTTAAAATGTTCGACGAATATCCCCCAGATCGAAAGAACATTATTATTACAACGCTTCTGTGTCGGAATCTCCTTACAATACAACCCGTGAAGATCCGGGTTATCATGTAGAAAATGAACGCAAGCTGGTAGCAGTCTGGCAGCTGTAGAATGACTTGAATGTCATAACAAACTTGACAGTAATGTAACAGCAGGGGCGTAGTTACCATTATATAAAAAGCCCGGGCTTACACAAGATTGTTGCTAAAACGGTAGGGCTAGCCCTCAGTATCGTCAAAATATAAAGCTTTGCTACACGGCTTACACGAAAACAATTGACTTGCTACGCGCCTGAACAGTTTAATAGCAAGAAGGTACTGTCGAAGATACTTGGTGACATATAAATGGAATAAGATACATCGTAAAATATGTTTTGCAATTTCGTTTAGCTCAAGACTAAAAGGGCCAAAAAATATTAAATCAGAAAACAAATACATGACTCACTTGCAGGTAAACTTTGGTGACATTACTGACCGGAAGAAGTTACGGGAAAGTCTTCATTGTCACAACTTCCGCTGGTATATAGAACATGTGTACCCAGAGTGCCCCATCACTAAGGTCTTGAATGCAGGACAGGTTAGACTTTGACACATTCTACTACTGATTGAATTACAACTGAAATGGACCGATATTTCTACGCTTATAAGGAATGTCGGATTTCTTGGTAGCCAAAGATAACAGCTCAGCTCATGTAATGTTCGGTATATGCATTGTGTGTAAATGACATGGAACGTGTGGTGATTTGTACATACTTATAACTCACCATTTGGTTGGTAGTGGCTGACATTATCCGCGCTAATAAGCGTCCCTCAGTATTTAAGCACGTGAAATTTAGACCAATGATGAAAACATCATCTTCTACGGCATCTGTAATAAAGGCTGATGATTACTGCGTAAATAGTTACAGTGACAAGTGAACTACGACTTTCTGTCCAACAGATTAAAAGTGTTGCCCACCCAAGTCTCTGTGTGAGTGCAACGAGGGAAAGCGTTACATGTCTCCGTCCTTGCCTTGACTATGACTTTAGACAGGTAAGTGCCCGTCGGACTGTTGGTCACCTGTCTCTTTACCTGACTTTATTCAACATGCAAACTTTGCGAGTGGACTGCGTGTAACCTGTTGGGCGACACATTAACGCGTCATCATTTGTTTGTTGTTTAACGCCATACAATATATTCCAGATATATCTCGGCAGTCTGTAAATAATCGTCTGGACCAGGCAATTCAGTGATCAACAGCATGAGCATCAATCTTTGCGATTGGGATACGATGACATGTGTCAACAAAAATCAGCGAGCCTGACCACTCGACCTCGTTAGTCACCTCCAGATAACGACCAGCATGGGTTTCCTGAAGACCTGGGTCTTCATGAGTTCAGTGATCCTTTTATTCAATATTCACCGGTCTTTGCCTTTCACGAACAACGGAATCTGTTTTGGGATATAGTTGAGAGCGGTTATTCTCTGGCTTGGCCGGGGGATTATATTTATCTGCTGTTGATGCGATGCAACTATTAGGAAATATAGCTGTTTATTTATTTATGCTGAATTTCTGCATTCGTACAAAGTAAACACAAGGAAACTGTAATGCAGATAACTGTATTTACATTCGTTTCTCATATTCAGCACAACACAAGAAAATAATCAGGCAACATGACAATGGCCAGTGAAAACTCCAGTCTGGAGGATACAACCAGTGATTGAGATTAAAGGAAACGGTTCAATGATCGGTTCACAACGACAAACTATCAACCAGATGTAGCTTATATTTTACAATATTTCTCATAACATGCATGTAGCCCGCTGAAGAAACTATTAAATTAGTTGAAGACAATATAAAATATTTTTGGTAAACATGCTAAACCAACCTATACTAATTATAATTTGTGATGATCCGGGTTAAAATCAATAACAGCCCATGTGTATCGTAATGGGCGATTAACGGGGTGGTGTGGTATGGCTCACTTACTTGGTTCATGTATGTCATTGTATTCCTATTGTATTATCAATGCTAATGATATCAAACACTTGATTGTCTGGTTCAAAGACGAGTATTTTCCGAACGCCGTTATATAGCGAGCATGTTGCTGAGTGTGACGTCAAAATCAAACAATCCATACCAGGTTCCATGTGAGAGGTGACGCGGTTTGTATTTGTTTCAGTATTGGAAGTTGTACCCTGGTGGGGTGTTAGAGGGTCACACAAGTACACACCTGTGTGTGAGGAGAGGGCAGATTGCTGACTACCGCTGTAACGTGGAAGACCTGCTTCACTGGACGTACACAGAGGTCAGAATATACTTGATACTGTGTTGGGTGAGGGTGTCTTTAGCTGTGTTCATGGGGGCGTTGTGTAGCCTAGTGGTTTAAGCGTTCGGTCGCCACACCGAAGACCCGGGTTTGATTCCCCACGTGGGCACAATGTGTTAAGCCCATTTCTTGTGTTCTCCATCGTGATATTGCTGGAATATTGCTAAAAGCGGCGTAAAGCTAAATCCATTCAACCCCCTGATATTGAGTCGGGTAGGAGAGTCGTTATCAACCCCTTCATGGTTCAGAATAAAGTCATCGTGAGTTCAAATTAGGAGATACACATCTTGTGTTGGCCAATTTCCGGGTGTTATTGAGTAGTGAAGCAAGGAAATTCATTGGAACCGACGGTGTTAAAAAACCCTTAATAACACCATCGGAAAATTAGGAGATACACATCAACACATGGTGTTTATCGATATTGTAAACACAAAAGTAAACCAAAAGGTCCACACGCGTCTGTGTATCTGCACTCATTGACATCTAGTACGGGTACAGCCTTCTCCCACGGTAGCATCTGGAACTGCTAATATGTGACGTCATTCCGAATTTACGTCACCACTTTTGACGACGCAACAGTACACTGGTGCGTAGTATGTATATACTTATTAATACGCAGAAGATTGCAATTTCCGGGATTCGAATATCATTCAATCGATCATGTTTTTCAAACAATCACAATATAGAACAGCGTGACTTTTGTTTTACAGTTCTTATTACATTTGATGTGTTTTCGTTTAGCCGTGCTCGCGTATTGACTTCTGGATTTCAAATTGAGTCAGGAACGCCAGCATGAATAGTGAGTGAGTGAGTGCGTGGGATTGATGTCGGGCATATCACATAGTGTCAGGTTAGTGTGGGAGTAGTGAGTGGCTTTCACGCCGCTTTTACCAATATTCCAGCTATATCAAGGTGCGGGAGACCAGAAATGGGCTTCACACACTGTAGCCATGTTGGGAATCGGATCCACGTCTTTGGCTCGACGAGGGAACGCTTTAGCCACTCTCCTAAGGTGGGAGGTGGTTTTTGTTGGTTTTGGTCTTTGTTGTTTAACGCCGCACACAGCAACATTGCAGCAGTCTGTAAATAATTTAATCTGGACCAGACGCTCCATAGCATGAGCATCAATCTTGAGGCCCAATCAACTGTGAGGCCCAATCCCCCGATCCCGTTATTTGCCGCTTGTAACGAGCAAGAGGTGTTGAATGTCAATTCTAATCCCGATCTTCACTGGTCCAATGTGAGAGGAAGTCCGTTTCGGATGATCATTTAGAATGAACTGTACATATACCATGTTTGGAGGACGAAGCCGTTCATTTCTATCTTGTGCAAAGGCTGCATTGTGCTGTTTTATACATATTTATGATCCTTCATGTGCAGTACTCGCAGAACTGCAGAACTGACAGTTAGTTAATGCTTATAATGGTGGTTTATTTCAGAAAAGTAATATAGGCCATAGGCCCAGGTTACACTTTGAGAATTACAGAGTGAGAAAATATGTTATAATGAGGACTGTCTCAGTAACATAGCTTGATATATATATGCAGATAAATGTTGTAAGATGCTTGCATTTGATGATTGCAGAAGCGTATTAAATTTATGTATTGTTGGATATTCATAAAAGTGTAAAGGTATATACAGTCGCCGTAATACTTGATATTTATTACAAATAAGTAAGAAGTGATATTCATCTTCTATATATGGCAATTTACAGATATTACATAATCTGTCATTTCTAGCCTCACCAATATACCGGTACCTGCCAGTTTCTATTCGTAGTTTATGAGACACTGATCTAAACTGAGCAAGAGCACGTCTATGTTTAAAATAGCTGACTATGAAGATATAAGATTCAATACCGAACATACGTTTAAACAACGTGTATTCAAATGTTTTGTGCCTTTTATTAGTGCAGAATGCCAGTCCTGTTGATACGAAACTTTAAGTCTACCAAGAAATTTATTTAAAAATAGCGTTTCACTTCGAACCATCTGTTCTTGCCAAACAAATCCAAATCCATAGATTTCTAATGTATGCTTTATCCTAGATGCCCAGCTCCTGCAACCATTACTTTCCATTTATACAAGCATGTTATAACATTTCTTTACATATCGCTCATTTGACATTTTCAATATTTTACACCAATATTTGATAGACCTTTTGATGGTATAAATATACAATGGATATCTTCCACATTCGCCTCGCACAACATGCGCTGAAACAGAGGATTTAATTCCTAGAAATCGTTTACAAGCTGCTACATGTATAACTTCTATTTCGTTAACAAGATTCAGTCCCCATATTTCTGCACCGTATAATAAAGATGGACAAACTTTGGTGTCGAAAATCTTAAAGAACAAGTGAAAAGGTAATGGCTTAAACATTGACAGTGATCTAAAAATACCAAATAAAACTTGCTTAGCCTGCAGACATACATTTTCGATGTGATTGGTCCATACTAATGACCTACTTCATTGCTTTTGATTGAAATGTGTTATGTTTATCTTCAGCATAAAGCCCTTTGTCTACGCAAATCAGACAAATGTTTGACAGCTGGAGGAAATTCAACGCTTCTTGTGAAAACTTGCGACAGTTCTATGAATCAAAGATGGATGTTTGAGAAATCCAAGTTTCAGCTTTATAACACGTAATACATAACGGGACTTCGTGTCTTGAATGCATTGGTGTGATGCGTTTTGTGAATGTTTTTGCATTGTTCAAGTATGTGCGAACGTATACTGATTTACATATATTGTGATGTGGCCAAAGTGCTTAGGTGCTGCTGTGATCGGATTTGTATCGCAGCGACTGAAGATTAGGCTGTGGATTTACACTTTTCTATAATCATCTTGTTACTGATGCGTCAGATGAGGAACGTGCTGTATATGCCCAACCTTAAAGCTTGTGGTAAGGCCTCGAATGTTAGGCAGTGTCGTATGGCGTTCACTGAAATCGGGAGTCTAGATTGCCACTTCAGTACTTTGAGTATAGTAAACTAATGAGATTGGTTAGCCAATATTTGACATGTCAGGTGCTTCATTGTGTTCAAATTATATTATAAGTATGTCAGAGTGACATGTTGTATGTGTTGTCAAAGATAATAAATATTATATATATGGACAAAGTTATTATTCTTGATTTGATGTAATATTTGTGGGAACCATTGTGTTTTAACATCATAAAAAAGCAATAATCATTAAACTCATAAGATTATTTATTCCACTCACGGAAGAGATGATAATGCTTTGTATCAATGGAGTGTCCAAATGGAACGCCAGTGCTAGCGCTATATATAATCAGAATCAGTCTTGTCTGGGACGGGATGATGTTTGATGAGATCATTACAATATCGTGTATACAGTTTAAAATTTGTTGCGAGTGATTTTGAATTAAAACGCAAAATGTCGTTTTATCGAAAACTTTCTTTTGATGGTTGGTCCACTTTCGCACCAAACTCTTCAACTGTGAATTATGTGAAAAGTGGATATCCACGCCATATGTTACAACTTATTATTAACTCATTCTGTCACTGGTTTGGATGCTGCACGCTAGAGACCATGACTGGTAATATGATGCAGTCATAATATCGAACCATTGAAATAAATTATAATTACTGATAAAACAGTTGTTCAGGTTCAGAAACTGACAAACGATTTGCGAGTCTCCTTTAAACCAGCAAAATAGAACACAGACAAGTCTATTACATTCAATAATATATTGAATAAACAATGAGCAAGGTCACAATGAATATATTTCTAATACAATACTATTGTGTCTCAAATCTAAAATATTATCTAAATGTCTATAGTTACCTTTGTCTTGATTCTTGTCGATGTACTGATTGTAAGATTGTAAGATGTAAGATTGTTGACGGCAGTTGAGACTCATCGCTTTAAACTTTTGTGGCCCATAATAATGAAATGATAATCAATGTGACATCTTAATTAACAAAGCATTACTCTCATGACATAGTAATGATCCACTTAGCTATGATCGAGCATTTAGGAGAGTATGATATAAAGCCGAGGATAAATCTAAATCTGGCCATACACGATTTCAAGGGTATTGGAAGATGTGTCATTAATGAACAAAATTACAATTGTTTCAAAAGTTAGAAATATTTGGAAACTATGGCCATATTTACAGACCTTTGTCATATTTGTTCATAGTCTCGCAAGTGCTCTTTTATTCCATAAACTCGCAAACGTTGGTCATATGGGCTTCGTATGATATGATTATTTTCTAAATTTGGGAAATACTGCCCCTTCGTAATTCTTACGCTTCATACTTCACACCCTATGTACTCTGGTTTTCCACTAGGCCTACAATACTATTAACTGACTGACGGGTACAGCAAACAACCAAAAACACAAAAAACACCAGGTAGAAAGAGAATACGTAACGTCAGTGCAAATACTCAGTCTTAACTATCCTCCGAAACAGGCTAGCTATTACAAAAACGTTCGTAGCCCTACGAACTTCTTAAGCCCATTCTTAACACATTGTCTACGATCAAAGTTAAGAAATCTTAGGTCTACGAACGTTTCGATGATAATGGCCCAAATTCTGTTTTGTGTAAGACATGAGTAAAGCATATGAATGGACAACTGCAAATAAGTAATGACACCAGGTGTTCTTATCTGTCGGTAGCAACCAAAATGGGCAGGATGTCACCTTTGTCACCCAATGTCTTGCACGCAAACATATGTGGTTCACGGGGGTGACATACCTGTGTTACCTTCCCCAGACACGTCATACCGAACGACGTTTAGATAAGTTGCTTGTTTTCACCCTGCCTGGCGCCCATCAACTGGGAATATAACAGGACCAGTATAGATCTTGATTAGTATAGAAATACTATGTCAGAGTGTGGTATCCACTTTAATACTGGGACATTGGGGTAGCACGATACAATGGGCATATTTCAGTGCTGGTACGTGCAGGCACGCTCACACTCAGTATGTAAGTGCATTAATGTTCAACATGACCTTAAGCTCAAGACAGATCAATATGTGCGTAGGTGGAGACGAGATAACGCGTGTGCGAGTTCTGGCACAACACATCATTGTCAAACATATTACACAACGTGTGCAGGGTGCTAAACTAATTAAAAGTAATATGATAAAAATTAACAAAACTATTAACCTCACTATCATTTACATTAACAACAAACATTTATGCAGCATGTTTTTTTTGTTAAGTCACAAAAATAGAGATAGTTGATAACACACGCTTTACTGACTGCTGCAAACAGCTTCGTGACAGTTGATAACAATGTTGGTGTGTTTCTTATGTTTGTCATTTCAATCCCGATCAATCAAACAAGTTGACAGCAAACTGAAGGCATGTTCATGGCAGTCAGTTATTAACATGTTTTGACAGCCCAGCAATACCCGGCTGATGACAGTCAGCTTGCAACAATTCTCTAATATCAGGGGCGGTGGGGTAGCCTTGTGGTTAAAGCGTTGGCTCGTCACGCCGAAGACCCGGCTTCGAATCCCCACATGGGCACAATGTGTGAAGCCAATTTCTGGTGTCCCCCGCCGTGATGTTTCTGGAATATTGCTAAAAGCGGCGTAAAACCAAACTCAGTCAGTTCCATGACAATCTGTTGCTAAAATGTTTGTGACCGTCCTTTAATACCAGGTCAGTGAATGTCAGCTCATGACAGTCAGTTGATAACATGTTTGTGACCTTCCTCTGATATCAGATCGGAGACAGTCAGTTGATAACATATTTGTTACAGTCCTCTGATAGCAGGTCGGTGACACGTTGGCAACGTGTTTCACATAACTAGTGAGTGAGTGAGTAAGTTTTACGCCGCATTCAGCAATATTCCAGCTATATGGCGGCGGTCTGTAAATAATCGAGTCTGGACCAGAGAATCCAGTGATCAACATCATGAACATCGATCTGCTCAATTGGGAACCGATGACATGTGTCAACCTTCACATAACTAACTAACTAACCTCACACTATATGAACTAATATTGGATATGATACCCGGTGGTCGATACTGCAAGTAGCATCAATATATAATCAGTATACCTGTAGCTGCTTTAATGGGGGCTTCTGTTTGAAGTAAAAAATATACTTTACCACATGTCACCGGAAAACATCAATAACGTGATAACATTAAATGTACTCGACTCAACACGAATCTATAAATCAACAGACGTCCATCTGTCCCAGCTTCCGAAGGGCACTACCACATCACTGTGTACGGGGAACTTGGGGGGATACTGTGATGTGTGTGGTAATGTCATAGCTGTAACTCTGCAAATAAAGGATGAGACGTTCAACGCGTAACATCCTCAAAGTTTCCTGCATGTTCTTTTTGATGCAGATGATTGTTCAATTCAAAGAAAAATCGTCTAATCCACAAAGTGATATCGTTGAAGTCTTTAGCAAATATGCTGAATTGGACGGAAGTCACATACAAGGTGATGTTAAAAGGGGTTTTCAGAATGTCGATGGCTTAGAACAAGCAAACATATATGGCGACGGTTATAGGAAGGTAGCAGACGCGATAAGAAAACGCAAGAAGGATATGCTCCCGAGCAAGGCGGTAGAGCAACATGACCGACACACACAGAACACACAGAGTGTAGAGTATTACGTGGAGGAGTACGGAGGAGAGGACAGTAATGTGACATATCCACCGTTTGTGGAGTACAGTCCAGAGGATGGTCCAGGTAAGACCTTTCTCGCTTTTTGGTTGTAAGGTGGTGCCTGGGCTCGTCTTGCCGAGGAGATGGGTTCGGCTCACCAAATGAGGACGTTTCGAATTCGTTACACCCTTGTGTTAGGTCATCACATATTGTGTTGCGTATTCTCTACTACTTGTGTAACGTACATTTACAGTAAACTCTATCACACGGTTGTGAATAAGGATACTATTGCATTTTTCCCGATAGTTAACGGTTCCTTTATGACAATTGACAGCAGAGGCAGCAGTTGGTGTCGACATTACAAAACTGCTTGGGTAAAAGAGATACAATCGAGCTTGCCATTTCTACGACGATTCTAAAACAGCCACGCGACTCAACAGTAGTAGATGCCAATTCATGTGACACAAAAGCATTCAAATGTAAAGTTTGGCTTAAAAAAAAACTTCACACTGCGATATTACTCTTTCCTTTGACAATAACTGTGTTGAGGATTATGTTCTTATGCTTCTACCACCTATTTCGGTAAACACCTCATTCTGTCGATTTATGGTGATTAAAATACTCATCATTACCTTGGTCCATAATGTAGGGACTTCAAGTGATAAACTGTACCTACTGCAACAGCAACTGGACAGTTAGACAAGCGATGTTCACATTTAAGCTCCAACTATTTGTATATATACGACTTAATGCTTGGATCATCACTGTAGACAACTGTCTCCCTAGGGGAATGGGGAGCTGCGTACATCTACAAGCACACGAAGCAGGAGGAGGGGGGAATACAGAGAGGGAAAGAAGAGAAATGGCTTCAACCAACTGGTGAGCGACCGGATCTCTGTTCATCGGCGTCTGCCAGACAGTAGGCTTGAAGAGTACGTTTATAAACAAAATCAAAACGAAACCTATTGAAAATCCCTGCTTGTATCCATGTTATCTTTCCGACTATATAATGTGCTTTATTTCATGCTGATACCAGGTGTTCGGATAAAGTTGGACGTTTCCTGTGACGGCACCAGTCAAAAATATAATGTAACGTAGCGATAAGGCAAGTCAAGTAATCACCAACGTCATGTAAAGCATTGCCAAATACGTTATTTGTTTGGATTTCCTATGTTATATCGCACCTTATGTATCAGGTGCGCATAAACGCTTACGTTACCAATATTCCCTGTTAATATAAATATTAATGACATTTCGGATGACTGTAATTCCAGTTCTGTGTTGTATACAATGCACACTATTAAAAACGTCCGAACTTGCAGACAGAATTCTAACACCTGACATATTCATTATAATATTATTTTCTTTTGATCACAACATTTCATGTGTAAAATTCTGCGATCGTCATCTGATTATATACAATGCTACACAGAGGTACCAGCTTGCTGACATTAGAGAACGTAAGATATTAACATAAATATATTCAATTGATGGCCTTAATAATTTTTAGTGATCTATTAAAACATTATATATTTTTCAACGACATTTTAGCACTAAGGGCCCAAAGCAATGTGTTTCAATAACGCTTCTGAATATTATGAACTAAAGTAAAGTTTTCTGTACCGAAACGGAGTTACTACTAAGATCAGTGAGTGAGTATGAGTTTAGAAACATTAAGTAACATCGCAAGTGTATTTGAATACAACTGTTAACACTGAATATGTGTTATTATCCATTGAGTGTGGAAGACATTCTCGTGTGGCCTTCTGTCTACATGGCGAGACTTTGCAACTAGTTCAGAGAAGGGGAAATAATGAGTTTGTATTTTTCAGAAGTTATTTGGACTATATAAGCGGACATGTTTTCTTCATCACATCAAGACCGGTGTTTGTGTGACAGTCATGCTTTCGCCTTTGATGCAATATGTTCCGCTCTTTAAACATTGACATGTTGAAATAGAATGCCAAGAAATAAAATTTACATTAGAGACTTTGAACACTTCAGAACTTACAAAAATTGTTCTAGAAGCAAAACAAGCTCACTCTATGATGCATGGGTTTTTAGATATGGAT